CGGGTTCGACAAGCTCGGATGGACGGAAGAATAATATTACAATAATAATAATTAAAATATTTAAAATGGTATTTAATAATTAAAATAAAATACCATAATTATAAAATACATATAACAAATACAACTAGGCATTTAAAATCATTTAAGCATTTAGACAATTAATTACCAATAATAATAGCCACAAATAATGATAACAATAATAAGAATATCAACAATAATCCAAATTATTCTTAAATGAACGGGGCGTCACACTAGGGGTGGTCCTAGTATCTCCCGAAGGTGAGCAACTCGACTTTGCCATCAGAATGGGGTTCAAGGCCTCGAACAACGAAGCGGAATATAAGGCGCTAATTAAGGGAATTCAACTCGCAATCGGTGGCGGAGCAACAGAAATCGCAGCACATTCTGACTCACAACTTGTCGTGGGCCAGGTGATGGGGAACTGCGAAATAAAGGAGGATAGAATGTTGAAATATGTCGAGGAAATTCAAAGCCTCGTACAAGGCTTGGAGAAATTCATGCTGACTTAAATCTCTCGAGAGGAAAACAAGCGAGCCAATTGGCTCGCAAGAATTGCAAGCTCTAATGAAGGAAAAAAGGTAGGTCATATTACCACGATGCATCTGTAAGGAAGTGTCCTTAACCAAACGATGGAGGTCGATGAAAAAGACGATTGGAGGAAGTCTATTTGTGAACTCTTGTAAGGACGCATACCTGCAGGAGATAGGCAAGAAGCGGAGAAAGTTGCTCGATATCTAACCAAATAATTCAAAGTCGATGGGATCCTATATAAAAAGTCGATGACCGGCCCTCACTTGCGTTGTGTTTCCGAAGAGAAAGAGAATCATGTCATAAGAGAGATTCATGAGGGATGTTGCGGGGCGCACGCAGGGTCTCAAGCCCTAGCCGGCAAAGCTCTGCGAGCAGGCTATTACTGGCTAAAAATCTGGAAGATGGACGAGCAGTTAGTGCGAGGATGCGAAAGATGCCAACGACATGGTCCGATTCCCCATATCTCGGCTGAAACCATGACGACAATCAACTGCCCGATACCTTTCGCTGAGTGGGGAATCGACTTGGTGGGACCTTTGCCAATGGGAACGGGGCAGAGAAAATTCCTTGTAGTCGCAGTCGACTACTTCAGCAAATGGGTCGAGGCGGAGCCGCTGGAAAAGATTACTGAAGAAAAAATGATACAGTTCCTATTCAACAACATCTGTTGTCGACTCGGAGTCTCGAAGATATTAATCTCAGACAATGGAACTCAATTTCAAGGCAAACGAATCCAAGCATGGTGTCTCGACATGGCATCAAAAAACGATTTGCCTCAGTGGCGCATCCCCAAGGTAATGGCCAAGTTGAAATGATGAACCAAACTATCCTCCAAGGACTGAAGAAAAGGTTGCAAAAAGCATCAGGGGCTTGGGTCGACGAGCTAGAAACAGTCCTTTGGGCCTATCGGACGACTCCGAGAAGTTCAATGGGTTAATCCCCGTTCCACATGGTATATGGAATGGATGCGCTCCTACCCATTGAAGTGGGCTTACTGTCTCACAGGTCGACATTCTATGAAGAAGGGAAGAATGAGGAAATTTTTGCAGAAGCCCTTGACTTAATTGAAGAAGGGCGAGAGGAAGCGTGCGTGCTGTCTATCGAATACAAGCAAAAGATGCGCGTAGCCTTTGACAATAAAGTTCGAACCCGACGTTTCCAAGTGGGAGACCTCGTCCTCAAGCGAGTAGATGCCCTTAAACATGTGGGAAAGCTTGAAGCTAATTGGGAAGGACCTTTCACAGTCACAAAGGTTCTTGAGAGAGGAGCATACGAACTCGAAGACGGAAGAAGGTCGACAGCTGCCTCGATCTTGGCACGTTATCCTTCTAAAACGCTTTTATGCCTAAGGCAATGTCTTTAATCCCTTTTTGTACTGAAAAACGTTTGAATCAAGTCAATAATGCAATGAATTTCAAGTTTTTCAATTGTGTCTTTTACATATCCATATCAATCTTATTATGATTACTTGACAAGTTGAATTTTTTTAAGAAACGGATGTAAAGCCAACTAACTCCGGACGACTACGAAGTCGATAAAACAACTACGAAGTTATATCTTCGAGTGAAATCTCGATCAAGGTTATGAAGCCTACGACTACGAAGTCGACAAAACAACTACGAAGTCGACAAAACAACTACGAAGTTGTATTTTCGAGTGGAATGTCGAACAAGGCTACGAAGCCTGCGACTACAAAGTCGACAAAACAACTACGAAGTTGTATTTTTGAAAAAAATCTCGAACAAGGCTACGAAGTCGCCAAAACAACTACAAAGTTGTATTTTCGAAAAAAATCTTGAACAAGGCTACGAAGCCTGCGACTACGAAGTCGACAAAACAACTACGAAGTTGTATTTTCGAAAAAAATCTCGAACAAGGCTATGAAGCCTGCAACTACGAAGCCGATAAAGAAACTACGAAGTTCCGAAACTATGTCAATTCAAGGAAAGGAAAGTGACAAAATACGACAAAAAAAAAAACGAACTGAAAGATAATATTCAGGATAATTTCATTACAAAAGAGGATCGTCTCGACCTTTACAAGCCTAAAATAGGTCGAGAACGATAATAAGAAAGAGTAGAAGCGAAACTTCGAAAAAAAATATTAATAAAAAAATGGGCGACAGCCTCAAAATACGATTCTAAGAGTCGGCGTCTGACTTCTCCGCATCATCTGCGCCGCCATCGACTATGGTCACAGTCCGCTCAGCATCGGCATCCCCCCCCAAGATTAGCCTCGCCCGACTGAAGTAATCTAATCGAATCGACCAAGGGGGTAGGAGGGGCTTCGAGTTGAGAAGAGAGTTTGGCGACATGAATGGCCTTGGCTTTGAGGCCAGACCACCACGGATAATCATCCGGAAGGGATGTATCACCCTCATAGCCATCAGGGTCGGGGAGCGCACGCCTCATCGCCTCGCGGTCGAGTTTTCCCGCAAAATCAGACCCCGCCACCACTACCTCCCATGCATCGAAGGTATGATCAAAGTACTGAACGGCGGTGGGGCAAAGCCTGTCGAGAAACTCGGGTGAGTTGCAGAAAGCCTTGATAACTTCGTTGTGATAAGTCTTGATGAAGACAGAACCCATCGCAGACTTGAGAAACAATTTTTG